CTCTCTCTCTCTCTCTCTCTCTCTCTCTCTCTCTCTCTCTCTCTCTCCCAGCTAAAACGGTGGCCCAGTTAACTACAGGTATGACTTTCTCTCTGTGTCTCTCTCTCTCTCTCTCTCTCTCACACCCACACACACACAGAGATATACAAAACACACGCACTGTATTGCTAATCCAGCCAGGACATTCCACTAAATAATCACATTTAAACCTAATTATACTATTACATTTAAAACTTAAAACCAAACAATAAAATAATATTTTAACCTCTAGTCCAAACTCTCTTCTTTTGGATTTTGAAAACATTTGGTCCTCACAGAGACATAAGTACCGCCACACACACCCAGACACACTTTCACCTGCTTATCACATGTGGAGAAGTGTAAACTTGATTAGATTACTCTAAGCCGACAAGATGAATGACTTTTGATCAAATCACTTAATGTCCATTGACAAGCTAGAGCAGTTTGATTGATGAGAGAAACGTGTGTCTCACTCATAGACAGGCAGGTTGGCTTTGATTGCATGGTGGTTTGTCGTGTTTCATGCAGAGTTGAATAATAAAATATTCACTTTTTTCTTGTTGTTGGACATTACAAGCTGTTATACGGTTAAAAAAAAAACAATAATAACTTTATTCCCCTTGTAAACAGAGAGTTTCAGATGAGTTCAACAGAATGGGTCCTTTATACAAAAAAAGGTGGTAATGGGAATAAAACGGCCCCAATAAAATAAAAGCACAGACACACTATAACTGTCTCCAACACATTTATAGTGTTGTTATATATTTTGACGTATTGTCATGGTTAAAATGCAACAAAAATGAGTTATAACATAAGTAATAAAAACCTGCCCCCCCCCTCTAAACCTTCATCACAAACCAGAGATAATATCCATCAATCATGAATTATTATATCGTTATTTGCCAAAAGACTTACCTTGTATGTACTTTCAGTAAGCTTGCTCACATCATCTGGAGCCTGAGACATGATGGCAGGTTGTTTTTCAAGCCCAGAAGTCGGAAAAAGTAAGAAATTAGGAAAAATACAAATTTGGCGTTTGGTAATCCAGGTGTTGACTCGGAATAATAAATCCCACAGCCGGTCCTGTCTGCACCCTCACTGCGCGCGTGTGGACAGAGAGACGCTCAGCGGGCGGGCGGAGGACGCACTGACTGACGGACTGACTGGCACACAACAGAGAGACTTCCCCCGTGAGTTTAGGGCTCACGAGGGGCGGAGCGCGAGGGAGGGCGCCGTGACGTCATGATAGATGTTATACAAAGTTATGACTCTAGATGTCTCTTGTAAAAATAAAGGTGTGACTCAATTTGGCACTGTGTTCTGGTGTTAAAATACAACGCTCCTAAAGAGGGCGCTGTAATGCAAACAGTTGCACAATAGGCTAATCCATAGTGGTAGAAGTCAGACAGTGTATTCAGATCCTTTATTGAAGTAAAAGTAGCGATGCTGCAATACAAAAATACTCCATTACAAGACATTCAAAGCACTGATATGTAAGCATTTATAAAGTAAAATTATCAATGATGCAAGAACATGGAATACATATTCATTTTACACCTAGTCGAGATGGAACCAGATTTAATCACTTTATAAACTGCGGTTAAGTTGTTTACTCAAAGAACATTGCACATTATCATATTAAATCTATAAAGTCACTAATTGTAGCTGTCTGTATAGTTCCCTTTTGAAATGCAGTGGAGAAGAAGGAGAAAGCATCATAATATGGATCCACAGCAACCTTAATAATTGTACAGTACTTGACTCAATGTTCTTTCCACTGAGTCCATGATAAAGTCACACCTGAAGGGGCCACATATTGTTTTTCACCTGTGAAATGCTGTTTTTGGACTACCTGATGAGATATTAACACGTATCATGAGGCGAGTACACATGGCTTTAGAAACTTGAGGATAAGTCAATTACATGGTTTGACATCTACTGTAAAACATGACTGTCCATGGCCTGATAGGGGCTGTATACCCCAATCAATTGAAAAGCCATCAGTGTATTATTACCAGCCTGCTTTTGATGAGACTTAAAGGCACCACGAATCATAATTGGGGTAAAGGTAACCATAGCCAACTTCTCATTATAAAGTATTGTTCATATTACATACAAGAATGTACAGTAGCGCAGTGCTCACATATGCTGTCGGCAACATATTGCAGATGTATGCAAACATGGCGGGATTAACCAAGTTAGAGGCCTGAAAGCAACTAGTAGATTTTCCTCCCTCAATACCAATTATGATACCTCAACTCAAAGTTCATATCAATACAGTGTACCAATCAGACAACAGTGCTCTCTTTTTTCTAAACTTCTGTACAAATCTGTACACCTCATTGTGTGGAACTGAAATCATTTCATGTAAGGTAGCATAAGGTCAGGATATGACACTGACAAAGAAACTGTATAAATACAGTGTCTCTATAAAAAAAACAACTACTGTACAACTACAATTACAGTAAAAATACATTACAGATTTTACTCTGAAGGTTGGAGTTTGAGTCCATATTTTACTATATGAATACAAGCTTTTACCATAAAGAAACACTGTTTCACCATAAAATGAACATGAGAATTTCATGACCATAAGGTCAGTGATTCCTATCTGATATGTCACACTGTGAATCCCCAGAACCTTTCTCTAAGGCCTCAAGAAGAAGTGACCCTTTCAGTTGATAGTGTAATCTAGTAGTGCGCATTCAAACAAATTTTCAATTAATCAAATGTAGACAAATCATAAACAAAAGGGTCTTTTGGGGCCCCTGCGGGTCTAGGGCCTTGGGGCAGTTGTCGGCTTTTCCTGAAGTACAGCTTCAATGTATTTTAGCAAGACAACAACAAATAATGTAATGTCACTTCTCAGTATTATGTGTCGCCTATATTTTGAATGGCTTCATACATACAATTCTTTTCTGTACGTTATATGTAAGAGAGAGAAAAGGGGAGATTATGCTGACTTTTAAAATCAAATCTGAATATAGGCCAACAAGAAGTGTTAATAATATTTATATTATATATACTTCATCTAGACATAATTTAAGAATAGTCCCCAGTCACTATGAATAACCTGTTTTATTGGTTGAGCCTTGAGTTGTTAGCACCACCATGTGGATAGCAATACACCTCCACTGTCCTTATGAAACTAGGTGTTTTTTTAAATGGCCAGATCTTAGAAAGATGCCCCACATCTCTGACAGAAATGTGACCCGGCCAGAGCCTCCTTCACAAAAGCTGATTGTTGCTCCAGAGCCACATGATTGAACAATTTCAAGCCTTTACAGCTCTCATTGGCATGCTCTGAATCTCACAGGCAGTCAGGAGGAGGCACATTACCCCTCTGCTGCCCCATGTCCAACCGCTCTGCTCACAGGATTCACTTTACTTCTACTCGAGGTCCTCCTGAGGACCAGCAGATATGGACAGGTAAATCTAACATTCCTTAAATCTAAGACATCTGACATTATTTTTTAAACTGTGGGATTATATGCTTGCAGAAAAAATGTTGCATGGATCTTGATGCTCCTTCCTGTGGTCGGCCTGAGTGTGGTAGAGACCACAGAGCCTTTGACAGATTTGGGTAGGCCATCCAACAATTCCCATTTATACTTTTCTCACCTATTGTGGCTTCATAACTAAGAATATTCTATTTTTTTTAAACAGAAAACATCGCTGGGAAGTTGGTTTTCTATCAGATGGAGGGAAATGCCACCTACGTGAGGGATACAGGAAAACTGGCTTCAGATGTTCCCACTAAGACCATGTTTGAACTCTTCGATCCCCCAAAGAATTTCAGCACGGCAAAGTTCTCCTACACGTGGCACTTAGGGAACGGGTATGAGGACTTTTCACATTTTAAATATTAAAATAAAGGTGGGATGCTTTTCTTTTTCTTTCACTACTTCTACTTTTTCATGCAGAGAGGTGATCCAAGGGACTGAGCCAGTTGTCCGCTATCATTACACTCAGTCAGGGAACTACACACTGCGGCTGAAAGTAGGAGTGAACTTGACCAAATATTCACCTGCAATCACTGACGTCTACTCCACGGATGTCCAGGTCCTCGGTTTGTAGTTTTACGCTTTAGTTCGTGTGCAGTTTACACAAAATAAAAGCTTCATATTCAGCCTTACAACTTTAATTTATTGAAAACAAATAAAATGATCAGATGATGAGGTGCAGTTTCAGAAAATCTCAATAAAACAAGACAGATAGAGGTAACTTCAGTATTTTGGAAATTAACAGAAAAATAATAGATTTGAATTGTCAAATGGTCTCACGTAGCTGTCATTAGATGTTCAGTGCTGACCTAACTGTCAAAGTGGATTGATACAGAGGTACATTCTGTATTTTTGTCAAGTAAAGTTGAGCCTAAACTAATCCTAGAAAGTGACAAAATGACTAATAACTGAAATTCATTTGTAGATGCCATTAAAAGCATCGAGCTGAAGGGGCCCACAGATTACGAGGTGTCTCAGAACACAAGTTTGGCTTTTCATGTTGATGGAAGGTAAAAAAATGTTTTATTTCATGCTTATTGCAATTAAAAACAGGTTATCCTTTGAATTTGATATCTTTAATGCAATATGATCAATGCAAGTTACAATGATAACTATCAGTATGAAAAAGAATATCCCCTTATTTGTCTACTCTTTCATTTTTAAGATTTAAATTAGAATTTGATATGCTTGACCAATGCAGGTAAAATATCAGGACACCTCTCTCCTGTATGTGTGCATGTGGGGGGTGTGTGTGTGTGTGTGTGTGTGTGTGTGTGTGTGTGTGTCTTTAGTCCTCCCATGTGGGTGTGCTGGCGTTTCCTGGCCAACTGTGTGCCGGACATGACGGCGAGGTGCACGCTGACCATGCTGTATGAAAACACCCTGCGACTGAACCACACCTTCACCTCTGCCGGCGTCCACTGCCTTGACATCAGCATCCGCAATGACGTCAGCAAGATGCAGACCTCCTTCAGCCTCTATGTCAGGAGGTACAGTGAGTGGTGACACACACACACACACACACACACACACACACACACATAATCACTGGCTAACAGGCTACTTTTCGTCACAAAAAGATGATAGGAGATAGGAGGGACAAGACACAACATATTTGGGCAAGAAATGAAACATGAGGAACTAAAAAGCAGAGAATTGCTCTCTGAATGGAGGGTTTAGGAAAGTATTTGACCAGTCAGGGTTATGAAATCATTCCAAAATCTATTGGATAATGCCAAAAGTGCATTGTCATAAAGTTACACAACAAAGCGGAGGCTCTACTTTAGTGTAGATTCTTCTCATTCATCCACTTGACTCTACTAAAACTGCATTTGTAGAGTTGAATAAGACCCATCCTCCCCTAACACCTGTTTACAACCGTAGTGACAACTCTCACATGACGGACATTTAACCTCAGCGACCCCTCAACCGCTCTCATGTACTCAACTCTCATGATGTCATGCTGTGAACTCTGAGACTGGATCTTCAGCTCCTCATCTGCAAACTATGATGCAGTACTTTCACTTTAACTTGACAAGATTTAACGCTTTCAAGGATAGAAGAGAAATGCCTTACGGTGACAACACATAATCCATACGAAGTCTGTCAAAATGATGAAAACATGAATGAGAACAAGCTGAACAAACATTTTAGTATCAGCCGGTATGGATGACCTAGAGAACCTTGCAAAAAGCTTTTTGATGATAAATGAAAACAGAGAGAAGAGGATACAAACCAGTTGGTATATTCTTAAAAATATAAATTATACAATTTGTTTTGATTCAATTCATAATTTATTTTTATTATTATTTAGTATTTTAAGTCCTATCCTTTTTAACAACTGATATACAGTACAAATATCAAATTGATATATATGTATGTATTTGCTTATTTATTTATTTCATTTATTCTAATTATTCATGAATCTATGTCCCTTTTCATTTGAGCAGGTGAACTGGGTTATTTTATTTGTAAAATCGTATTATCATCAAATAAACCCATACCATTTTTCATTTATCTGTAAATATCTACGTTATTCTATAAATGTATTCCTTCAGTTACCCTTTGCCCTAAATATAAATCCATTAACAAGGTTAAGGTCATAATGTGCTCGGCTCTCTTATCTCTCTGATCTCACTGCTTTGATGCAGTTTGAATGAATCTAAATCAGTGACACTCTACATTGATTCATCAATTCACGATCGATTCGGTGCATGCATACAGTTAATTATTTATAAAAGTGAATTGATAATTAATCATTTAATCATTCTCTTCTGGATGGTCTTCCCCAATCAAAAGAGGTTCTTGAATCTAATGGAAGCCGTGTTGTGTCATGTGGTGTTTCAGTTAACACTTACCATGTGCCGATAGGCCGCGTTAGTTCCACAGACGGAGAGGGAACAGTGAAAATGGAGGAATCAGGGCAGCTCACAGAGCAAGCTGACTGCTCGGCACATGTCCGCTGTGTTCAATTTTTTATATGGCACACTTTAATTCACATGTACTGCACTTTGATAAAACAACATAACAAAGTTAAGTGTTTTATTAACATTCTGATATCAATATGAACAGTCCGGGTATTGGAATAGTTTATGAAAACTTCTCGAACCTTTTAGCTCTCAACATGATTGTGTCTGAAATATCCAGTTTCAAATGGAACTACATCAACATAAGACATGGTGTATAATGTTGTTTCACTGTGACTTTGATTCTAAAAGGACCACACTCACACATGTTTTTCTTTATTTCTTCTGTTTGAATCGCAGATAGCACCCACTTGATCTTCATCCTGTCATGTGCTGCCATTCTTGTAGCAACTTTCTCCTTCATCACGGTCATCGCCTGCTGCCCTCGTCACCACAACAGATCTCAGGTACTGAGAACTGAACATCTTACAAAGACAACTGACATTGTAGAAAGTATTCTTTTATATTTTATTGTAAAATATAATGTAACTTCTGATGTGTGTTTGTCTTCATTAGCTCTGATGAATAGAGTCCAAACCCTCATAAAGAGCCTCAGTGATTGCAGTTTATGACCACAAGGAGGCTGTCTGTTTCCATGAATAGATCATGCCTGAGCAACAAATTGTGTGTGGCACAAAAAAAACAACAAGAAATGTCTTTGTGGAAGTTTGTGTGGTTTAATCTAATACGTTGAAACAAACATATGTTTTACAACATTTGTCTCGGCATATTTGATTTTTTACAGATTGGTACTTCCAGCAACGCTATATTCCTGAAGAACCAAGACTCTGAAGGTCAAAGCGCAATTGTTTTGAACTTCTCCCACGTGGAGAGGGGAGAGAAGGAGCCACTTCTCCTGCAGTATGGAACACAATACTGCTCTTAACCGTCACACTGCTCCTCTGTCTGTGCTCCGGCATACTGCACATGAAGACAGAAGAAGATGCATAAAATGTTATGGCGTCACAGAACAATTCTCATCCTGCATATGCTACAGATATATAGCCAATTCTGTGAATGATTTGTGCACAACACATTTTAATAAATACAGTTGCACAAGCAGTGCCTGTTTAAGACTATTGTCTAAGCTGTGTTAATGAATTGTTCGAAATGTTCAGTAAGCCAGTAGTTGATGCACCTTCTGTGTTATAATGGCTGATCAATGAATGAGTCACAGACCTTTGGCTGACATTCAAATGAACTCATAATAAATTAATAGCACAATTGCTGGTCATGTTTAAACAATGAGTGTTCATTTAAGGATGCTGTGAATGTGAATCATTTATTTATGTTTTTTTCCCATATTGATGATTATTATATTGATTTAATACTAACAGACGACGATGATGCAAGCGAAACAAAGATGTCAATCAAACTGTAACTACTGCCAGGTACTTTCATAAGAACTTCATAAAGAGAAAGCTTAACTGATTATTCTTTGTTTGTCTTTCAATATTTACTTATTTAATATTTTGAAGCTGTTTCACCCACAATTCATGTACATTTGTTGCCTCCATTTCCATTGTGCATTGCATTGTGGGAGAATAGTATGAATTAACAGCACAGTCATTAGGATTCATCCTCTGGACGCATTTCTTCATGGCATTCCATCCAAAAGTTGGCTAAATATTTGAGTCTGGACCAAAGTGGTGGGCTGATATTGCCACATATGGAGCAATATAGTATTCTATATAAACACACAATATAGAAAACATATTGCATTATAACGTACAAGCTACTTAATGAAAAACTTGTAAAAGGTCATCATGTCAGGAGAGAAAGAGTTGAATAAAATCCTTGAATCTTTCCAACTGCGCTGACGTCAGTCAGATTGTTTTTCACGCCGTTGAGCACCTTGCTGGTGTTTAATGATTGCCCGTCCTCTGTTAGAGATGTCACAACATTATTAATTGTGAGTCTCCTGATGAATGCCAGCTGTCAGAGACGCTGTGGGAAGCTGCCGGTGCTGAAGATGAATACGTCACTTCCATCAGAGGATCGACCTTGAGCTGAAACACCGCTGTGGTTAAAGTCTGCAGCCTTTCACAGTTTATAGAAGAAGATCATTGAACGAACTTCTGCTGAGGCTGTGTCATGTGAGAAAATGTTATTCACAAACAATAAATCTAAAAATATATGCTACATCATCTACCGCTGGTGGGTAGTTGTTAATATTAAAATAGCCTTCCATGTGGTAGGATAACATTCTGATTAGAAATGTGTTTTCTAAATTACAACAACAAAGTTAAAGCGGCATATTTAGAGCTTAAAGCCTTAAGCTGATGTGAAGAACATGTGAGCAAACAGGTGCCTATTTGCACATTCAGCAGATCTAAGGCTGCATTGTTGATATAGAAATATTGATTAGTGCAGCTTTAAGTAACATGGTGCTGATAGAGTCACTGAAAAAACAGTGAATGCTGCCTTTACAGCCATTCAAACACAAATCCTTTTCCATTTAATTATTTATCAAATAACTTGCTGTTGTCACACATTTTCACCTGGTTGTCATGGTAAGTTTTTTGTGTAGGTACAAGGTAATACACTTAATTACGCCTCTTTGTTTCTCATCATTTTTTTATCACTTCTACATTTTTGGCACGACACAAATAAACCAACGACTAACCAGCCAACCTTGCTCTTATCCACTTATCTCAGCTTGTGAAATCAAACACAGGCTAATAAAGTATGAACAGATACAGACTGAGCCTTGGACGGCTTCTGTTTTATCTCCATGATTACTGATTATTCAGCTCCACATATAGAGACGGATGGAGACTTTTACGTAATTGCTTTTTTCCCCCCTTTCAGCCAGTGTCATCGGAAGATGGGATGTTGTGGAGAAAGGCACGACGGCATAAATTGAGTCCTCAGATGAGGCCACCTGAAGAACGGCCCTGTGTGAATTTAACTAATTAATCAGACGACTTTACCGAAGATTATTTTGTAAAACCTGCAACAGCAAAACCCAATGCCTGTCTCCAGAGACTCGTGCAGTGTAATGTTTTTTGTTTTCTTTTTAAATCAGGCCAATGTCATAATTTCTTTACCAAATATTATTCTATTTATCGCAGATGTGCATTTGACAATCATATATAAGAACTGTTTTGCACATTCTATCTAACCAGTTGTTGAGGTTCAGCAGCTAATCTAAAGAGCTAAAAATAAAATTGAATTTGTCTGGATTTTATTGAAGTTCATACTTTATGGCCTTCAAAACATATGTTCAATTGTAGCCCTATACTTGAGGAGCTTTCAGAGCAGTGTGTGGTTGGAAAGAGTTGCTTTGTCTGAGGAAGAGTAACGCCACCTCTGACCTTTCAGCCTTTCTCATCTGTTAAGTATTGCTAATGCCACCCAGGACACCTGTTGTCTTGGCCCAAGCCATCTGAGCCTCAGGATCCTGCTCAGCCTGTGTGATTAACTCATGTCGCTCCTATGTCATCTCACCAGCTTGACCAACACGGCTACCAAGAGGCAAAGTGATTTTAAACTGGTGTTGATCTGCCACAACTGAATGATTAAATACCTATAATTGCATGTGTAAAATGAAATACAGGAAGAACATTGATTAGAAGGAAACTTGCAATGTAATGGCTGAAAGATAAAACAAAACCGACATATGAATTTTCTTTATTTTCCACATTTTCGTTATTGGCAAAGCAATGTATTTTCAACACATAATACATTTAATGGCACTTAGGTCTCGATCCGAAGGCCACAAAAAAAGATGGGCAATGCCTTATACATGGGCTAAAAACAATGATTACATAAAAAAAGACACTAAATAATGCAAAACACTACACATTCAAAATACATTTCAGAGAGTTTTGATCTGTTACATTTTCTGCTGAATGCTTGTTTAGACAATCCACTGCAACAATGTTACAAATCACGAACTGAAGATATATCACAACATTGAAGCTATGAATATATTTCCAACACGATTCACCATTTCAACAAGTTTGGAAATGGAAAAAGGCAAAGAAAGAAAAGCACGGTGATAGACTCACTAGTATCACTGGTATCACTGTGGTATCTATTTCACACATGCTCCAACTAGCCGCTAGTACAGATAAAGAGCCAGACTGTACTTTTCCAGTTATATCCTCCTAAAAAAGGACTGAACGCATCCAGATGAGAGGTGGGATTGGAGTTGGCTCTAAGCCTATTCCAAGTTAAGGAATAGACATAACATTAGCCTGACCTTTAATCTTTTCTCACTGCCACTGCACGCAATACCAACTCACATGTCAAAGGAAAACTGTCAGCTAGTCTGGACTCAGTGTATTTGTAGTAGTAGCAGAACATGCGTGCGTCTGTGCCGGACTAGAGTGGATTTTCATTACTTCAAAGCTTTTGAGTGAGGAGGGAGGGGTGCGTGGGAGAGTGTTTGGGGATGAGGAGGTATGTTTAGCACCGATGCCTTAGGTGACCTTTTACCATGGTGATGGGTGTATTAAAGGATTGAAGTACTTTAGTCATGGTAAAGAAAGAAATGTTGATACATATAGCTCTCTGATGGGGTTAACATGACCTCTCACCTGGATCCCAAATTTCAAAATTCTCAGATAAAACTAACTTGTTACACATCAATGTGTAAAGTAAAGTCCATAAACTGCCCCTCAGCAAGAGCAGACAATTAAAAAAAAGTGCTGAATGGATGGAAACAGCAGCTAATCTAAAGAGAGGCCGACAGATGAGTTTTAAGCATCCGGCAGTCGCTCCTGACACATCTCCAGGGGCCGCTTGAACGCTCCCCTCCCAAAAACTTCAACGTTGCTAGCTAGCCAGGAGATCACATTTCCGGGGATATAAGCACTGCAGTTAGCCATGGACTGGATCTCGGCCGGCTTCAGAACGCGGTCCCAAATGTTCACTTGACTCAGCTCACCCACGAAGGCCTGTCCAGCATCGAAGCGCCCGCCCACCACGTCCTGTAAGGGCCATAAACAGCAGGGTGTAAATGGCAAACGCATCAACAACGATGTAATCAAAGGCAGTTATCTCACTGAGGGTCAGTGGGACTATGGGTGGGCTAGTCATTAAACTTTCAGGGTTAATCAGTGTTTTATTCCTTGTTCGGCTCGACGACGCAAACGTTGAAGCATCTAAAATGGCGCAACATTTGTGTTAATATCTGATATGCCACGATAAGATTATACTTAAGCTTTGATTAAGAAATAAAGGCACCATTTCAGTGCTTGTTTCATAAGCCCTTTTCCCAACAGCCATTTTGACATGTCATTGCAGGGTAAGCAGAGGTGTAATTAATAACTTTAACATAATTATGGTCCTGTTCCATTTAGGTGGGCCAGGGCCGTGGTATTGTGCATGCTGGCTCACTGTTATGACTGTGACTCGTTTAATAGAATGGGCCCATAATTAATGTTATTAATCACACCTGTGTTCACACCATAGTTCACAAAACTCTCTGTCTGAACTGTGATCCCATTCCACACAGTGCTGACTACTATAGTACACACTATTAATCCCCACTATCAATATGTAGGATGCAGAATGCGGTGTGTGTTATGTACACTCACGTGAATGACCCTTCATAACATCATCTGAGCAACGTTGTTGCCTTCTGATTTAGCTCTTTCATTGTGCTAACGCTCATGCTACAGTCATGCTAGCAGCTCTGTGAGGCTGCACTTAGGCACAGCAGTGCTTTGAGCTAAATGCTAACATCAGCAAAGCTAACATGCACTCAAGGACATGCTGATGCTTAGCAGGTGTAATGTACACAATATACATCATCTTAGTTAAGGGTTTGAGCTTGCTAACGTGGTAATTCTCTACTAAACAGAGTACAGATGGGAATGTCATTAGATTTCAGGTTTTTGGTCACAATATGCGAAAGAAACTTCAATTTTGACCTGGTGATGGCGTTACATGAAAGGTCGGCTGATCACCAAAGAGATTGCAGTTCACCCTGAGTTGGACATGAATGGCAATCGATCCAATAGTCATTAGGACATGTAACCTAAAACCATAAATGTCCACAAAGTCAGGGGATCACTAACATTACTAGCGCACATCATCTGGGAACAATGACTATCAGTACAAAATGTTGTAACAATTAGTCTATGTTGAGAGTTCATCCTCTGGGGAACACAAATGTCTGTACAAAATGGCATGGTAATCCATCCAATAGTTGTTCCAAAAGGAAGCAAAGTGTTGGACCATCATTTAAATGATTAAAAAAAATAAAAACGTGTTAAATTGAATTAGTTGCTTTTAAGACCTCAAATACTGATTTGATTTCCACAAAACTTAACAGACTGATGGATCTTATTCTGACATTTTTTAATAATGCCCAGATTGGTCCAGAAGGAGACCTCAGCATCTGTGGGCAGTGACAGATCTCCCATTGTTTTGTTAATTATTTTGTCAAGATAACCTGCCACCGCCTTATTACTGCTGCTTCAGGTGTGCAAAGGTGCTCCATAAATAACACTGCTTATTAGCAGAACTGCTTGACATTGCACTTGGAAGTGGTTGACTTGTGAAAATGGGAAAATGCTGCACTAGTTGATGGTGCATTGTTCGTGTTCTGTTCTGCTTTCTTTGATCATGACAAAGGAGCTAGAGTGATGAGTAAATCTACAGATGCGGGCGTGTGTCAGACTCATGGGGTCCTACTGCACTCCCTCACCTGCTCCTGCCCCAGGATGATGACCCCCCCGGGTTTGATGGGGTGCCAGGCTGCCAGGTTGTCGCCAGTTCCCAGCTTCCCTCCATCTTGGTAAGCGTCCCATTGGCCGTCCCGTGTGGTCCAGGAGATGCAGATGTGGTGCCACCTTCCATCACGTACCTCCAACGGCAACTGAGCCACCTAATGGTTCAGAATACAATATAATTAGTTGTGGTGTAGTTTACCATAAAACCATAAAGGTTTAGTAGATTCATGAAACAACAAACTACTTGCCTTGTCATTGATGAGCAGCTCTATCGGGTTATTGCCCCATTCGATCAGCACAATCTCATTCGCTTGCCCCGGTACACCGTAAGAGAAAGGCGTGCCGATGCCAGGACTGGCGCTGGACTTGATCCACATGCAGAGTGTGAAAGCATACATCTCTGGCAGGCTCTTGGTGATGCGGCCGTACAGGTAATTGGTCCGCTGGGGAAGGGACAGCTTAAACAGCTCCGGGGACTTGAAGTCTCCTCCTCCTGGAATGAGACATGGAGAGAGAGAGAGAGGGGTGAATAGGTCAGGAAGGTAGAGGTGTGAAGTGTCCCAAGAGTTGTTTTTTTAATCTTGTTAATCGCTACCTTGGTATGGAAACGGGGAAACAATAGCCTCACTTCCCTTTATGTTTAATACACAGACTGACATTACATAAAACCTCAACAAAGGCCCTTTTTTGTCCTTGTCTGTCTCTGATTCATCAGACCCTTTCAACTCTTGTATTCCCCTGAGTGCCTTCCTCTGCCTCCCCTACATTAGTGTATTAGATGTACAATAGGTAGCATGCTTTAAACAGACTTATATTTCCTTCTGTGTAGCACCATGTACCATTTTCCCATTAACTCATCCTCTCTATTACCTTTCCTACCCAATGATCTCACAACAATATTTCATCTGAACTTTATCTGTACAGTTATAATGAGTAATGTTTTCCGTTACCTTTCTCCAGCTCACTGATCCTGTCCACCAGGGCGCTCAGCGTGCTCTCCGTCTTCAGCCTGTAGGCGGCTGTGGCATTGGACAGCATGCTCTTCTCCTGCTCCAGGCTGCTGACTTTCTTCAAGAGCTGCTTCTCCAGCTCCCTGAGCCGGCGCTGCAGCAGGTCGCGGAGCTCACTGGGGAACGAGGCGCCGGATACGTTGGCCCGCAGATGCTGTTGCTATGAGGAAGGACAGACAGGTCAACATGAGCAGGAAGTGCACCGAGATGATCAAGGACAGTGAGACCCCCCCCCCCCCGAGAGCTGCAACAAGTGATGTCTTACATCACCACTCTATCAGTCCATTCTTCTGGATCACTGATTGACATGCCTGCAAATATAGTTTCAGGACTGTATAAGGTTGTGGTCAGTCTTCCAATCCTGTTATTAGATGAGTTTATTTTTACTTTTACGTTAAACTCACATGAGGCAATAAATGATCCCCAGCATGTGCCTCTCCATAGGCCTATATGATCATTTACTGCCACCGTTTATCACGCACTTTGCCATTTTAAGAATGTGAGGAAAACAGTGTTCATTCTTTTTAAAGCACTGCAGTTGGTCTGACATGAATAGTAGCTCTTGTCACATGCCATGCATCATTTTAAGAAGTTTAAAGCAGGCCAATTAGACAATCTCGTTCTCACAGGAACTTCTATTAGATCACTATGGTGCGTAATGATTCTCAGAAGTGCCCGTCTACTGCTGAGCATTGAACCCACAGGGTGTGGTAATCCAATAAGTCCGCTCCAAGAGTCAAACAGTGCCTTTACGCATGGCTTTGGTACAGAGGGTATACCTTGCGCAATTGGTTCAGACTTACCTCCAAGTTTTCCAGCCTGTCCTTGAGACCTTGCATGGTTTTTCCAAGACTGTCGATTGTGTCATTTGGATCTCTGGGAACATCCCCCATTGTATTTTGCTTTTCTTTGCCCCAGGAACCCCCCTTGTCGTACTTCCTATCGTCAGTGGTTGAGGCGCAGAGGGACAGCTTGGTGGTGAGCTCATTGATGGTGCCTATTTGTTTGGAAATCGTTTCTTTCTGCTGTAAAATTGTCTCTCGAAGCTGCATAACAGTATTCCTGAGCTCCTCTTCCTGGCTCCCGGCGTTCAGCTCTGGTAACAAAGTCACAGGGCAACTTGTATCGCCGCTGAGGGGTACAGCCCGGCAGATGTATCGCTTCCCATCGTCCGCCTGGCCGCTCGGTAGTTGACCGCTGCCAAGCGCACAAACACATAACAATCCGCACAAGAGTGAAAACATACCGGCGGCGTTTACCGTAAAGGAAAATCAAAGGGAAAGTGAACAGCCAAACACTAAACCCTTAACACTCTCTTAACGAAATCCCCGCGTGGTTTTAGTGCGTAAAAGTGTGTAGGTCCACCTAAACATCACGTAAAACTATTTCTACCAGGTAGCGCCATGCCTGAGCAGCAAAATGAAGACAATTCTGAACAGAAAATCCGATCATGGGTGACTCGGTCTCTGTAAATCACGGCCACTTCAAGTAAGGAACTATTTCTGGAGCAAACAGAGCGCACAGTGCGATGCTGAACGAACAGCTCCGCTTACGAAAGAGGATTACCAAAAAAAGGGTGTCTGTAGAAGCTTCTGGATTGGTTGTAGTAGGTTGACGTCACCGAGCAGCCATGTGTAAAATATGTGTTCGTTTGTCTATATTGAAAGTTAATCAAGCAATGAAGGATGCGAGGAGTTAATTGTCTCACAACAGTTAAACTGGTAACAGGGATTGAAAGATGTGATCAGTCTTTGTTGCGTCTCATTTCATATCCCCGCATCTGTTCTCACTTCTGTTTATTCTGATGCTCTTTCCTAATTATTGCTGCAGATGTTAATTCAACATTGAATTCTGGTCAGAAATGTTATCACAGTTTATATTCAAAAACTAAAGTTAAATCAATAACTGTCTCAATATGTCTATATTTATTCATTAAATGAGGACTTGGGATAAACTATTTAGGGATGTGTGAGACACATTTTATTTATATCACTGTGAGGCATGCAAGTTGTTCGGTTTTAGACGACAAAGACAAGAAAATCATTTACATGTGGGGAATACATTAAATAAGTATTTTTTTGAGGAAAATGGCTACAAGGGAGAATCAACCCCTCTGCTATAGAAAACAAATGCTGAAGAAAAATGCTGTAGGTCAGCATATCTGATATGATATCATGATATGGATATTGGTCATTGATTGTAGCTGTAACAATTGGTTAGTCAGTGAAAAGGTGGGAATGCAAATCCGAGAAGAGACCCTTGAAGGCGACAGTCATAAAAGACTGCATGTGAGTTTATACCACAGTAAAGTACTACAGATAATATGGTTTTAAACCCCCCTTTTAGCCCCGTTAAAATATGACCTAAATATATTTGTTTTGTTTAATCTGTTTGATTAGATTGTTAGCAAGAATTTGAATTTGAACAATATACACTGACACCTGAGCGCCTGAATGGTGAGTGCATTCAGTAACGTGAAGGATGACCTGCTTTGATTTCTTGTTTTGAATATATTGACTAAAGTGTGCTGGCCTTTAAGGTTTTGAAAATGTTAAAGACCAACGCAAGAAGATATCATAGCAGACCTTGATCCAACTGTGATCCTACTTTTTGGAAATGTTTCCAATTATCTGATTTCTTCTTTTCTTTTTTCTTTAACTTAACGTATAGAGAACATTATCACCTTGTACAAATATTGTAAAAAGAAAGGTAGTTAATTAGTGTGACATTGTTTCAATATTTCAAAACCAGCTGAAATTCAATCAGGCATGAAGTACAACATCTGGTTCATAAATTAACAATAAATACAGAGCACAATCATTGGATAAGAGCAGTGAAGTAATATTTACTCTGATAAACGAACAGTAAGAACAGCAATCAAGTGCATATACTAACTGTACATTTTGCACCAAGATTCAGGGGCCTCGAAGCCATCTGAAGTCAGAGCTTTCCAGCCGTCAAAAACATGACAAATCATTATAAATGCAGGTGAGTCTCTTCAAAAAAGGAAGCAGTGAAGAAACAGGATGTGGTGGTAAACAATTAGCAACAGCTGCCTGGCTGTGAAAGGTCAATAAAGCCTGCTGTGCCAACTGGAAGACTTACCACTGTGCCTTGAACATGGCGTCCAACCATGCTCCCAATCACACAGTCAGTCAGGGAGTTTATTTTATGACAGTATAAACTCTTTGGTTTTATTCACTGAGTGCACATTGTTCAAGTTTTGGTGTTTTAAAACAGCAAGGAACTACGCCGCAGGGCTTCTTATTTCCTCTCAATGAACGATCAGATAAAGACATCAATAAAAACACAGTTATTCAAGTGATTACGTGAAAAGTTGTTTTTTCTTACAGGCAGTTCCACGACACTGTATCACATCAGATCAACATCATAGTATCATGACTAACTCATGTCAATAGAATAATTCCAATTTGAAAGGGAACCCTTTATTCAAGAGGTTCTTCTAACTTACTGTAAATTAAAGGAGCTGTAGTTGTCAGCTAATCAGTGTCCTATTCTGCCCTTTTGACTAAAATCCATTCATATGAAAAGCGTATTTTCAGAAGTGGAGGAAGTATTCAGAGCTTTTACTCAGGTAAAAGTAATACAACAATATCGTAAGACAGTACTAATACATGGAACTTAGTTTTAACTGTAAATACACATGGTAGTTCAGTCCATTGGTTCCCAGCCAAGAGGTCATGAAATAATTCTGGGGTGTTATTAATTGGGCAGGAAGGATGTAAAAGTTCTCCTTTATGTGAAATATTTGGGTAAATAAATGTAAAACCATCTGAGTATTTTAGCACAAAACATGTCAAGGGGCCCAAACCATCCATCCATCCATCCATTTCCTCCGCTTATCCGGGGTCGGGTCGCGGTGGCAACAGGCCAAGCAGGCTGACCCAGACTTCCCTCTCACCGGCAACATGTTCCAGCTCATTCTGGGGGATCCCGAGGCGTTCCCATGCCAGCTGGGAGATGTAATCCCTCCAGCGTGTTCTGGGTCTTCCCCGGGGGCTCTTCCCAGTTGGACATGCCTGGAAAACCTCCAGTGGGAGGCGTCCAGGAGGCATCCTAATTAGATGCCCGAACCACCTCAGCTGACCAGGGGCCCAAACCAGACGCAGCTTTTTCATTAGGGGTCACAGGTCCAAAATGATTGGAACCACTGATTTAATCTTAAACAATGCATTACATTTTATACGTTTATAATGTGTTTCGTAACATACTCACTTGAAAGTATAATGGCACAAACAGTAAATGTAGTGAAAATGCAGTATTTCCCTTTGAAATGTATTGGGACTTGTGATAATGGAAATACTCAACTACTCAACTACAAGTACCACAAAATTGTACAGAAGTACACAGTACTAAATAAATGAACTTGCTTACCCCCTGTTAGTTTTGGTTCATTTGAAAGCAAAATTAAACAGAGCTTTGGCTGTTTTGCTGATGAATGGTGTCTGGATATGTGGTTTCAAATCTGGCATTGCAACACTTTGAACATTTTCATTTTTAGCAGGTTTGCAGTCAAATATTTCTATTAAAATTCATTCATTCTTTTTTTCAGAATATCACAGCAGAGATTTTGGGTGATTTGAAGAAAAAAGAATGAATGAATGAACAGAAGACAGAAAGAAAAAGAAGAAAGGAGGAACCAGGATCTGGCAGCAGTGATTGCATCAACACCTTCAGTTTGCACAACTCAGAGTTAGCTTTGCAATGCCTTTGCAAATCAATTACAATCATCAGAAACACTCTGCCTCCCCCGATTCAACCCAGACTGATTTACTCTGACATCACACCTTCTTGCTTACCAGGTGACAAACACAAAAGGTATCTGCCCGTCCAATTCACACTCCAGCTGATTAGAAACATTGAGAACTAAAGTTATGATATAAGATTTAAAGGATTAAGATTTTAAATAACACCCATATTCACAAAGCTGGAGGACTGTCTGTTCCTTTTACTCAATCTGGCTGGTTCACAGAGAACATGTTCTCTTATATGCGGATAGAAAGAGTTCGTGCACATTGGGAGCTTTAGATGCATGAATAGATTTTCAGGGTATTGTCTATTCAGTCTCAAGGAAAGTGCTCTTCTTTCTATATGAGAAATAATGATGCACGGTGTGATGTGGTTTCATCATAAGGGCATCAGCAGCCACAGCGCTGAAAAAAAACACACAAATCTAATGGACACATGAGTGGTATTTGGAAAGCTGGAGAAGGAGTGTGTCATCCACTCTCCCCTCTCAGGATAAAGCCCCGTCACACAAAAAAGAAAACACTAATGAAATGAACAGGACAGTGCAATAAGCCTGAGACAAACGTCTTTTAGCAGATCATTATGTATAGGGAGCAGAGAGCGAGAAAGAGAATGAGAACGTCACATTGTATGTCCAATTACCTCTTAAATTATATACGACATTAACTGAAAGGAATATCTCAGACTTTTGCCAGTGGTTTCACTCTATAGAAGGAGGAGGCTGTGAAGGAGAGCAGTATGAATTAAAATCCATTAGTAATGCATGTGGGCTGGAGACAGGGCAAGATAAATAATGACCATCTTTCAACCTTCATTATTTCCAAAGCTATTGAAACGAGCATTATGCGATAAAAAAAAAAAAAAAAAAGAGAAAAGAATCCCAAGCCATGTTGCCATACACCTTAATTCATAAACCACAGAAATGTTAATATAATGACAATAAAACTTGTAAAAAACCTTTAAAATGATCATGAATGGTGATATGCTTTAATTTTAGATAGTGACTGATTTTCCAATAGAAACAACACAGGAAGCTGGGAAGTGTTTATCAGATCATGGTAGGTGCCTCAGTTTCCAATATGACCCCTGACCTTTGTAAAGTTGCCCTTGACAAACTGTGCTGCAGCGGGTGTAACCAATCCAAACAAACCAACCATTACAAGCAATGAAGAGGTTTATGGTGACCACATGCACTGCTTTACTGTCACCACACGGTGCCAGCCAACACCAATAACTGATGAACTCGTTCAGTCAGTGTTCTTGCAGCATGCACAGTGTGGGTTTGAATCATTTCAATTCAAATATTCAATGCAAAATGCAAACATAAAAAGTGTGAAGCTGCTTCCACAGTGTTTTAATCGTTTACAGAACATTTTATATTGTTGAACAGTGTTACTTAGCAGTGTTTAATCCCCTCTATATGTCTGCATTTTCCATATTTTAATAAGAAATGAGACGGTGGACTCGTTAACCCCCACCACCCGCAGCTTCTCACTCAGCAGCAGTGGTCGGATGGTGTTGAATGCACTGGAGAAATCAAAGAAAGTGATTCTCATAGAGCCACCGGCTCCATCCAGGTGCGACTGAGCTTGTTGCAACAACCTTGCATCGGATTTGTTGACAATGAAAAAAAGAATAACATCGGCCTTATTGCTAATTATTTATGTCAATAAGTTAGACTTGAAGCAAAGGTTTTAGTATACATTTTTCATATCAACGCATCTGAATTCATTACTTATGTGCGGAACTGTAAAAAACAAAGTAATAGTATTGTATGTAATAGAAAAGTTTAAAAAAGCCAAAGTTTGGTAAGTTATGAAAAATTAACTGGTGCAGTATGTCATGAAAAAAGTCATATATAGTATGTTGACAAAGCCTAAAAACACTTGTGTATCAATAAAAAGTCATAAAAAGTAAAAGCAAAGGATGTCAAAAAAGTCATATTGTAGTATTTAAAAATCATTTTTTCCAAGTATGTTAAAAAATATTTCAAGTCCTAGTACAGTGTTTCCAAAAATGTAATACAAAAGTAATAAAAAACTCATAGTAGGATCAATGAAAACCAGAACCATTCAATAATATACATTTATAGGCAATCCTCCTTATATGTTTTCTAAGATTAATAAAAGAATAATCAATTAGACATACAAAATAAAAATAAAAAAGACAAATATTGACTTAGACTAATATTTGACCAAAACCATGATGTTTTCTTGAGCCATATCCCTACAAAATTGTTTACAGAACCGCAATATTCCAAACTCCAGATGTCTGGCTGAGTTCTATTAATGTCCCACATCTATTCTCTAGCATCTTATGAAATATAATAAAATAAATAAAATAAACTATAATTATAAAGATTAAGATCTGAGACCAATTTCCTATGCTTTTACACAACACGTTTATGCAGGCATCAGTTAAGAAAATGATGTGGAAGTGCCATATTTGCAATACTTCATGCCAACTTCATTCCCAGTTCAAAGGATTCCTGCAGCCCTTGTTGGCCCCAAGTCAAGAAATGAAAAACCGTCTTGTGTTTTGTTACACTTAAAGAGTTGGCACGATGCTTGTTTTACTTTGAGCACTGAGGATTTCATGAAGGAGTCACTGGCTCCTTCAGATTGCTGCCATCTTGTGGTGAAAACAAACCATGCCAGCTAATGCAACTGTATGAAGAAATGTATTAAAACAACGAATACATTAATTTAATTCCGTTCCAGTGTCATTCCATGTCGTGCCCCTGCGTCATAATGTTTCATTGATCAGTTATTCTCTATTATAATTCCCATTAATATTACAACTGATTTATAAATCATAAGGCTACTAAATGTTGAGTTCACAATTCATGATATAACTAATTTGAACCTATACCCGTAAACCAAACCAACATGATAATTGTACAACTTCAGAATGATGAACTTAGTGGGCCTAAAGTTGGCAAAGTTGCCTATTTCAATGCTTTGCCTAAACTGCAAAATTACCAAATATATTTAAGCCATATATTTAAAGCCTACCAAAACTGCATGAGTTGGAGTGCTTTACATGCTGTCAAGCTACGGTACACCTCCCAAAGGATTCTGAACAGGGATGCGTTCAAGCACAGTTACCCGCAAAGTTACTTCCTTTGCTAACAATCCTGGGAGCCAGAAGACCATCGAAAACGATGGTCATATATCCACAGGTTTCACTGTGTATCGTTCCGCTGGTACTAGAATAAAACGTTTTGGCAAATAATTTGTTATACAAATAATTTTACAACACTAAAAATCAATTGTATCAGTCCTCCGCATATAGCGTTGCCAATCGAACATTATTACACTGTATTTATAGATTCATGGGAAAGATATGATACCCAATACGCGGAGGGATACCACACATCTTAGTTGGTCGAAAGCCCTGAGCAGCAGTGCGAGAGCGGCGGATACGGAGCGATTCGGCAGTTTCCTCTCTGTGGTGCTGGGTAAGTACGAATGGTTAGCTTTTTCTAATATACTTTGGCAAAATAGTAGGTGTTTTTCACATCCTCCTGTACACGAATGAACTTTTAAACCGTTTTTTCGTCTAAGAAAAAGTGCTTTCTCTCTGTGGCCTGTGTTTATTTCCTCTTCAAGTGTGCGTGTAATGTTAGGGGATTCGCGAGCGCTTTCTTTCTTTTGGGAAAGCTAGCTAACGGTTATTAGCTAACGGTTGCTAGCGTGTTCTGCAAATTAGTATTCAATGTGCCTTTTGTGGTGGTCTTGAGTCGATGCATAAGCGTGCAACGCCTCTTAGCAATGTAATGCTCCCCACTTTGATTTCATAAAACTCGTTTTTAATTCACAAATATTATCGCAGTATACAAACATTGTGCTAGCCGACGCTTGTTATGATGTCATCAATGTGCGCCCGGTAAGAGGCATGTTTGTGGATCTGTTACCGATTTCCGAAACGCTAATTTTTTCGTAAAAATGCTGATTTTTGCCTACATTTAATGCACATTTTACGTTAATTTCTTCATTTGAAATGAATGACAACGGATATTTTCTTCCCGCATGTTTGCAGTGTACATGAGATCACACTGAGATCTGTGCCGACTGCTGTCTGCCCCTTTCCCCACAGCAGTCCGGTCTGTCCCATCTGCCACCATGGCCTTTGTGCCCGCGCCCGCGCCCAGCCCCACTGTGGTCGACCAGACTACACTCATGAAGAAGTACCTGCAGTTTGTGGCAGCACTCACAGACGCTAACACACGTAAGTTCATAGACCTGGCAGTGCATTGCCAGACATGAGTTATTCCAGATGTAGGAAAATGGCAGAAGAAAGCCTCAAAATGATGCAGATTCAGAAAACAAATATTTATCTGTATTCAATCACATTTTAAATATCAAGGGATATATGCAACATATCCCATTAGTTTTAATCCACTTTTTAAATGATAAGAGTATTAAGTAGATATTTGTACAATAGGAATTCATGTAAGAATGAATGTAGCTATTCCCACAGACATAGAGAGGGTCTTATAACATCTCTTCTTTTGAATTTGAATCATTAAAGTTGCAAATTCAAAGCACACCTTTCTCATACATATTAATTAAATCCATACGATGCAACTTTTCTCTGCTTAGTGTCAGCAAAATATATGATTGGCACTTGTGCTCAGCATGGGCGATGTGATGAGAGCGATATGCTTTAGTCCAGTCAAAGGTACGCGTGTCTGGGAGAGTGCTTGTCTGTGTGAGTGTTGTGAATGGTGAGTGTGATTCTTGAGGTACCTTTGATCAACCTGGATGATGAAAGTAAAACTGATAAGATCTGAGAGTCCCCGCTGAGCACACGGAGGCCGCCATGAAAAGCAGAGCTATATCTTAAGAAAGTTTGATTAACGGCGACATTCTGTCCTTCAACTTCCAGCTGATGAAACAAAGCTGAAGATGATGCAGGAGGTCAGCGAGAACTTTGAAGTAAGTTTGTTTCTTTTAAAGTATGATGGTGGATTTTAAGAAGTTTAATCGATTCTGCAAAGGTCTAATTCTCTAAGGATTCTTTTGAGTTGTAACACAACCAGGGGGAAATAAAGTACGTTTTTGATGGCGTGAAATAATCTTGCAGCAAGGAAGAAAAAACCTTTGATGAAAATTGGCTCTGCACTGAAACATGACTGGATACACAGAGTTACTAAATGACATAACATGTCTTGGAATTTAAATTTCAGAATGTGACATCTTCGCCTCAGTACTCCACCTTCTTGGAACACATCATCCCTCGCTTCCTCACATTTCTTCAGGATGGAGAGGTGCAATTCCTGCAAGAAAAACCTACACAGGTATGTAGTTTTAGACTAAAGTCTGTGCTTCTTCCGAGAATCAACACTTCTAATCTGTCAATCAATGTTCAAAAACTCTACGAACAGAAATCCAGTGTAGCAGAAGTACTGATTTGATCACAGACACAAGTCTGTAAGTGAAAATGTTATGTTACATTAAGTAGCATGACTGCTGTTGTAATCCCATACACCCACTTTTGATTAAATCAGTCACTTTGATCGTATCAAATGGTTTGATACTTTGCATTAACATATTGTCCTTTTTTTTTTTTGTTAGCAATTGAGGAAGCTGGTGCTGGAAATCATCCACCGCATTCCAACAAATGAGCACCTTCGTCCTCACACCAAGAACGTCCTGTCTGTGATGTTCCGATTCCTGGAGGTATGAGTCCTATTCTCTCACAACAGAACTTTTTATTGTTATTTCTGTCATTCAGTTGCTATATAACTTTTTACACTTGTAGTGGATTGGCCTTGCTTTCTAACAGTTCATTGGTTAGCTCAGTAAATGCACATCAAGTGCTGGAAAACTAATATTAACCTCCTCCCAAAAGCTGCAACATGTGGTTATAGATTTGTTTTTGAGTAGACATTTTAATTAAGAATTATTAAAACAGGTGGGGTTTGTTGCTGTGGCATCTGAAAACAGTGACATTTGCTGACGACATATATGTATAATATGTAAATATGCACTTTTTTTAGAGATATAAGAGCTATTGTGTTTGATTTCACGTTTCACGTTCTTGGTTTTTTTTTTTACACAGATTGAAAATGAGGAAAATGTGCTGATATGCCTTCGCATCATTATTGAGCTGCACAAACAGTTCCGGCCTCCAATTTCCCAGGAGGTGAGATTCTCAGCCTTATTGCTTGAAAAAGAAATTGAGTTGTGAAAGAATTTTGTAAAGTGATATAGATGGGGCTGTCATCAATTTAGTAAATTCCCTCTATTCTAAAAGCACATTTGTCAATATTCCTGTGATGCAAGAGAGTCATTCTTTATAAAAAAAATAATATAAACACTGGACCATCTTCTTGAAGTCTTGGATTCACATGTTTTCAATAATCCTCTCTTCTCAGATTCATCACTTTCTGGACTTTGTGAAGGAGATTTACAAAGACCTTCCAAAAGTAGTTGTAAGTACAACCTTCACAGCAGGTGGCTCTGCTCTCAGTTAGAAGTGTTTGCTTCTGATTGGCTCAGGCTTTTACTGGAAACACAAAGTAAATTGCCATTTTCTTTGACTATCTGCCTTTCTTCCTTCTCCACCTGTATCCATGTTTCCTGGATTTCTTCTAACTGCCGTCTCCCTCTGCTCCCACCAGGCCAGGTACTTCGAGAACCCCCAGGTGATAGCGGAGAACACGGTTCCCTCCCCGGAAATGGTAGGCATGATCACGTCAGTGCTGGTCAAGACGGCACCAGAGAGGGAAGACAGCGAAACACGAACAGTAAGCGAACCGACCGTTTGTAGGATCTTACATCTGCATAGTTTTACAGTACTGCCTGTAACCACAGGATGGTAGTAGTGCACCATGTCGGTACTCTAACAGGAGAAACCACCAAACTGCCCTCTAATAGAAAATACATAAAAAGTATTTTACGCTCTCCTTCAGCATACATTTTCAAACTAAAGTTTTATAACGCATTCACTTATGTCAGTTTAACTTCATGCAGTGCTGACTGTGTCTCATTGAGGACCGCGGCCCTTTATTGACCGCCAGTTTGTTTTCTTTAAAATGTTTCATTTTACAAAGAGTGTACTGAAACACAACATACTCTACAAGTACTGACGAGGATTCAAATCGCCAACCTTGCGGTCAGAAGTCCACTTCTCTAAACTTGACTTTGTTTACCTCTTGATTGATGGGACCATGGGATATCTGTCAGTCACTTTATTTCATAGGGCTCCAGCTGTAGAAAGGTGCCGCTCGTGTCCAGCATTTAGCTCATCCTCATTGTGATCCTCACTTTGTTTCTGCCTCTAGCACACCATCATCCCACGGGGGTCCTTGTCTCTCAAGGTGCTGGCAGAGCTGCCTATCATAGTGGTGCTGATGTATCAGGTAAGTGACACAATCCAGAGTCCTGAATAAATTAAACAAATGTACGCAAATATGTGTATATCTGCCTTTAGCCCTAAAACACTGCAATTTTACATGTAAAGGAAACATAAAAATGTCAATACATTTGAAATGATAGGGTAAAAAAATACTTCTTTAGGGTTAGCAATTAAGTTTCCATTTATCAAAAACTGTTGACACCACTAACTGAATTAGCTCAACTGCATTTAACTAACTAAAGTCATGAGGGTTTTAGCATATCTCCCCCCCCCCCAAAAAAATATAAAAACCAGAAGTTTTGGAGTGTATCACTGAAGTTCTAATAATGCGTGTGTATTACAGTTAATGAGATGCTGTGTTTGCTCTGTCCCCTTAGCTATATAAGCTGAACATTCACAATGTGGTGTCAGAGTTTGTGCCCCTCATCATGAACACCATCATGCTCCAGGTGTCTCCGCAGGCCAGGTGAGATGCATCTGTGTGTGTGTGTGTGTGTGCGTGTGCGTGTGCGTGCTCATGGAAGTAGGCTATTCAAGTGTGTCCGATAGGATTGGAATGTGCCCTAAAACGAAGTTCATTTTCATTTTACAGCCATTAAAATTAGTTTTGGCGCGTTTAGGAGGATGATTTCCCCCCCACCATTTCTATCCAGCACTAGGGTTGTTGGCGCTGTTCCCTGACACTTTGCCTGCCAAATTTGAAGTTAAAATCCATTTTGGAAAGTCAAAATGGGAGAAATTGGCTTAGCGGGAGGTGAAACCTCTCGGGGAAGGAAGAGACTTGTGTTAAGCATTCGGAACAGGAAGGAAATGGAGCAGAGTTGATTTGGAGAAAATACCTCTGCAGTCTCTGGCAGGTATGAAGAGAGTGTCTTCCTCGCATGCAGGAACAGCTGTGACACAAACAAGTCACCAACATAGACCCTCAATTCCTCTCAACCTCTATAATTGCCGGCTACTGCAGGTATACGACATCATTAATGTCTGTGATGGGACTAAATAGCTTTTATATGTAAATCACGCTGTTTCCTTTGCAGGCAACACAAGCTTTATAACAAGGAGCTGTACGCAGACTTCATTGCTGCTCAGATCAAGACTCTGTCATTTCTAGCCTACATCATCCGAATCTACCAGGTAACACCCGCCTGGACTGTGTGTTGAATTAAATTGTTTTAGAAATGCATCCAGATTCAATTAAGAAATATTGTCCAAACATTTGGCTCGTATTAATATTGACTCGGTGTATTCATTATTCCTGCTGACCATAGCTTGCCTCCGTATACAGTCATTTTAGGAATTAATTGTGCTTTTAATCACATTGTGTGTGTGTGTGTGTGTGTGTGTACCCGTCAGGACCTGGTAGGGAAGTACTCTCAGCAGATGGTAAAGGGAATGCTGCAACTGCTGACCAACTGCCCCTCTGAGACGGCTCACCTCCGCAAGGAACTGCTCATTGCAGCCAAGCACATCCTCACTACTGACCTTCGTAGCCGTATGTATACATACACACACACACGCGCACACACACACACACACACACACACACACACACACACACACACACACACACACACACACACACACACACAAGGTACATGTATAAACAGGAAAATTGGAAGGCTCATAATGCAGTTCTTTCTCTTTGGGGAAAGTTGAAGAAACTTAAGATACATTTTTGTTTGATGTTTTTCTTCCTGGTCAAAAACATTCTTGCCGAGTCGCACTTCATTCTTCACATTTCACACTGAAATAAAATATATATATATTGGCTGTCAAACTGGCTGTAGAACCTCATTTTGATTTGGTGTCTGAGCAGAGAAAAGTGAGACTGAATGAAATGGAATAAAAGCTCAACGACCTATCAGTGACATCTTGAGACACACATTGTTGATGATTCTCTGCACTATACTGTGAGTTACTTCTGCTTTTGTGGCTCAAAACCTTTTCAGTCATTCAGCTCAATTTCAGCAAGAGATTTGACATTGTGAGGTTGAAGAAAGCTGAGGAAACTCGAGCTATAATTAGGTGATTTAGTGACAGCGGGGGGGAAAGAGCATTGACACACTTATTATTACATTTAATAAAACAAACATTTCATTTATTTTTTGTACGTTTATTATATTTGTCTTGTAAAAATGTATTATTTAACACAATTTATTGCAACACGTGTTCCAGTTTTTGTAAATCTACATTTGTTTGAATCATGCCATGAAAACATGTTTTGTGTTTCAGAGTTCATACCTTGTATGGATAAACTCTTCGATGAATCCATCCTGATCGGTTCTGGTTACACCGCTCGGGAGACTCTGAGGTGAGTTTTTGATCCCCTCGGTGTCAGATCCTCTCTCTCTCTCTCTCTCTCTCTTTCTTTCTCTCTCTCTCTCTCTCTCGGTTGATTGCTCAGCCAGGTGCATGCTAAGTTATTAATCAGGCAGCGCTCAGTGCTGCCGAAATTCTCCAAACTCCAACACTGCGGCTTAGATCACGCTGTCAAGTTGTCATGTACACCCGCATCTCTAGAGGGCAGGTAGCCAACACCCCCCCTCCCCCCTTAGGTAGACTTCAAAAGCTTGTTGACCCTCTTCAGATGCCAGACTGGCTCCCCTCATCAACAAAATAGCTGTCATTTCACATTAGCACTACATAGGAAACAAGGCAGTTGGCTGAGTCCTGACAGGACCATCAGTGTCACTCATTAGCTCTTTCTCCCCCTTTCTCCTCCACATCTCCCTTGTAGTTTCAGTTTCCTCCCAAAGCTACTCTCCATATCTGTCAAAATTTTGCTGACTGCTCCCGATTACTCCTTCTTCCTGCCTTTTTAGAAAATGTCAGTTTTAAGGGGGCACAGCCTTTTTCGGTTTTCACTACTATTAAGTCGTGAAATATGATTATAATTCTGCTCCGAATGTCACGGTTGCATGTTTCAATTTCTTCCCAGACCCTTGGCCTACAGCACGCTAGCAGACCTGGTGCACCATGTTCGTCAGAACTTGCCCCTGACGGATCTATCTCTAGCTGTGCAGCTCTTCGCCAAAAACATTGATGACGAGTCACTTCCCAGCAACATCCAGACCATGTCCTGCAAGCTGCTGCTCAACCTGGTGGACTGCATTCGTTCAAAGTCGGAGCAGGAGAACGGCAATGGACGGGACATCCTGATGAGGATGCTGGAGGTAGGCAGCACAGATCTTGGATCCGTTTAAAAGACACTGATGTGGATTACATGCATGCAATGTAATGTACTGTATGTTGTTAAGTAATCTTTCCCTCTTTTTCCTATAAATCAGGTGTTTGTGCTGAAGTTTCACACCATCGCACGTTACCAGCTCGTCTCCATCTTCAAGAAGTGCAAGCCTCAGTCAGAGATGGGTGTCGTCGACCCGGGGGTGTTACCCGGGGTGCCGGCCACACCCACTCCGTCCACCACCCCCGCCATTCCACCTCCCGCTCCTCCCACGCCCGTTGCCGCTCCGCCTGCGCCCCCAACGGCGTCCTTCGACCGAGCTAGCGAGAAGGAAGACAAGCAGACTTTTCAGGTGTCGGACTGCCGCAGCTTAGTCAAGACTCTGGTGTGCGGCGTGAAGACGATCACTTGGGGCATCACCTCTTGCAAGGCCCCGGGAGGTGAGATGACACAGATCCATGCGCAACATAGCATATCATTGTATATCTCGCATCTCGAATTTCTAACCTGTTTTTTTTTTTTTTTGTTTGTTTTTTGCAGAGGCTCAATTCATTCCTAACAAGCAGCTTCAGCCAAAAGAGACACAAATCTACATTAAGCTGGTAAAATATGCCATGCAGGCCTTGGACATCTACCAGGTACGAGTTCTTGACTTTACCATCACTATTTGTTAGTTGTACACTGAGAAAAATAAAGTAAAATGAAGTTTGCCTCTATTATAATCCTTATTAAGACATGACTGGTTAATAGAACGATTTAAATCCAACCACAGCCCGATGTAACAGCTCATGTCTCTTCTGACCAGGTTCAGGTTGCCAATAACCAGCAGACGTACATCAGGGTGGCCAACTGTCAGACTGTGCGCATGAAAGAGGAGAAAGAAGTTCTGGAGCACTTTGCCGGGGTCTTCACCATGATGAACCCCCTCACTTTCAAGGAGATCTTTCAGACAACTGTGCCGTACATGGTGGAGAGGATCTCCAAGAACTACGCGCTGCAGGTACACGCTCTCGCATATATTAAAAGTGTCACATGTGTGAATTAGTTTTGTGTCTTGTGTTATAGTTTTTTCAATACTTAACAATTCAGATAATGCAGTCTTCATTCTTAATTCATCACGAGCTATAATTCCATTTCTTGTTTTCTGTTTCACAGATTGTGGCAAATTCGTTCCTGGCCAACTTGTCGACGTCTGCACTATTTGCCACCATCCTAGTGGAGTATCTTCTGGAGAGACTACCAGAGATGGGCTCCAACGTTGAGCTCTCAAACCTTTACCTCAAGCTCTTCAAACTAGTGTTCGGCTCGGTGTCACTGTTTGCTGCTGAAAACGAACAGATGCTCAAGGTAAGTGGATGTTCTTGTGTCTTTTTTTTTTTTTGTGAGGCTAGTTTCTATTTGTGTCACTCTTAACTAATGTGACTGTCCCCGTCTCCTCAGCCACACCTCCACAAGATCGTGAACAGCTCCATGGAGCTGGCCCAATCAGCTAAGGAACCCTACAACTACTTCCTGCTTCTCCGGGCACTCTTCCGTTCCATTGGTGGAGGCAGTCATGACCTGCTCTACCAGGAGTTCCTGCCCCTTCTACCTAACCTGCTTCAAGGTAAAGCCTCACACACCATTACTCTTAAAATTTGTATTTAACAAGTGAGGAAAAAAAGTATACTCTAACTCCTCCCCTAATGCGTTCTTCTGCCCTTCCGATGCTTTTAGGTCTCAACATGCTGCAGAGTGGCCTTCACAAGCAGCACATGAAGGATCTGTTTGTGGAGTTGTGTTTGACCGTGCCGGTGCGGCTGAGCTCCTTGCTGCCCTACTTGCCCATGCTCATGGATCCGCTGGTGTCTGCCCTCAATGGCTCTCAGACTCTGGTCAGCCAGGGCCTTCGCACTCTGGAGCTGTGCGTGGACAACCTACAGCCCGACTTCCTCTACGACCACATTCAGCCTGTTAGGGCCGAGCTCATGCAGGTGGGGTTTTTTTTTCTCATTATCACGCCCAATGCAATATTTACTAAGCTGCCTGGCAGGACACATTTAGATCCTAAAGTAACTCATTTCTATCCTCTAATTGGATCATTATCTCAATATCACTTAGCATATCTGCCCTCTAGTGGTCAACAGTGGACATGGCAATATCTGCTGAACCGGGATACCTCACACACCTCTTCAACTAACTGTTTAATTCCCTGCTTCTCTTGTTTCCTATCAACACTGGAGCTTACAATAGTTCTCCTTCTCTTCCTGCGTTGCAGGCCTTGTGGCGTACCCTCCGTAATCCGGCTGAGAGCATCTCTCACGTAGCGTACCGGGTGTTGGGAAAGTTTGGTGGCAGCAACAGGAAGATGCTGAAGGAGTCTCAGAGGCTGCACTATGTGGTGACTGAGGTCCAGGGGCCGAGCATCAAGGCCGAATTCACCGACTGCAAGGCGTCCATACAGCTACCCATGGAGAAGGTAGGACCACACTTTGTTAAGTTGTTTGCAGAAAGTTTTTGGATGATTTTACATTTCCTGAAGTCCGGCTGAAGACCCTTTCTCTCCCTTCTTACCTTTTTGTAGTTCAGTTTTAGAAAGAGAGAATTAATCGTAAAAGGAGCTTGATATTCCTCATTATTGTGCTCCACTGAGAGCAATATGTCCTTGTCAGGGGGGTTGTGTGTGTGAGCGTGTGAGGAGATGTGTGTGTGTGTGCGTCTTCCAGGTAATTAAATTCATCTGCTGTTTCTCCTCCTCATCCCCAGTCAGTAATCATCAATCTAGTGTGGGCCACCATGACGGCATTATTTACTCTCACTAATGGCTGCTCCTTCTTTCTGGCTATCCATCTGTGTGTTTGCCATCATCATGGGCGCAGGCAGGACACACAGACTCCCACACTCTCACATGCTGCACACCCACATGCACGGGCTGAAGGCTCGAATACAAGCTCGTGATACAGCCTCGTGTATCGTTGGCACATTGAGGGAGGGAGAGTTTAAAGTGCTGTTAGGTAAACGGAGAGATAACAGTGATTTGAGTAACTTGAATCTGGGATTTGGATTTGAGCAGCATATTTCTGAATTTCTTCTGCTTTCTTTGCCTTTTCCAATTCTTTACCTCTAGGAAGTAAAAGGCTTGAATAGGAAGTTTCGTTTTCTTAGAAGTTTATATTCAAAATCTTCTTTTTCTTCAATTTTGTATCAAAAGTTCGAGTAATAGAGAACTTACAAGAGTCTCAGTCCTGACAGAAATATCCCGATATCCTAATTCACTGACAGGTCTACAATTCAATCCTGCTTTGCCCTCATCTCTCCTCTCACCCTCCCTTTATTCTCGCATCCTCCTCATCTTCTCCCCTCTGCTCTGAGTGGCATTAATTAGTTAATTTTCTCCATGTTTTTTAAGTGCCCGGCTGCTGTGGCTTGTCAGCCCATAATATAGAAATCATAATGACCTTTGCTTGGCCAGATGGCGCCCTGTGTTGCTTCCTGCAGATTTATCACAATATTGCAATTAAATTCCCATATTATTTAATATAAAATGGTGAAAAAGATTACTTAAAAGATTTTTAAGTAATTTTGATCTGGTATGTATATTCCCCTCCAGGCGATAGAAACGGCTCTTGACTGTCTGAAGAGTGCCAACACAGAGCCCTACTACAGACGACAGGCCTGGGAGGTCATTAAGTGTTTCCTGGTGGCCATGACCAGTCTGGACGACAACAAGCACGCTCTCTACCAGCTTCTGTCTCATCCCAAGTAAGTAAACATTCTGTGGTTAATGTGGTATTCATTCAAAAAAAAAAAAAAAAAAGTCAAATATATTTTAAGGATGTTCTTGAGCGTTTATAAATCTACAAACCACACACATCCACGTCTCTGATCACTCTACCATCAGCTTTGTGCGTATCGGCTCACCTCCACCCCTATCGGACACGCTCTGCTTTCAGTCTCTTCCGTCACGTCTTCCCCTCTCCCCCACCACCACGCCCTGCCTCATCAATTCTGTCTCAAGAGCGGGAGCTGCTAATTACACACTCACAGCCCCCACCCACCCACCCTGTGGCAGGCTTCACTGCGAGGCGGAGACACATACATGAAGGGGGGTCGGACGTAGGCTGGGTTAGTCACATTACCATCATTGATCCTCGGGCAGGGGCTAATTGACTTTCCCCTGTCTGTTTATGCTACACCATGCCCCTTACACTCTCCTGTCATTATGCACTAACACAGGCATCCACATGAATACGTCTGTTAGCACATTTCTGTGGGGATAATGAGGTGTGTCAGTTATGATCAGGAGGCCTGCACCTGCCCCCTCCTCATGTAAGATGTCTCGATTTGCTGTGTCCTCACTCTCTCAAAAGATTATTGTCTCCTTTTTTTTTTTTTCTCTCTCTCTCTCTCTCTTCATCTTCTTTCACATTCCTCTGCCTCAGTACTTGGTCACTGTAAAAGTACCCGTTGGTAGTTTTAAAAGAAGAAGAAAAAAAAAGAGAGAGAGAACGTCATGAAATGCCAACTGGGGAGAATGCAGTAGTGTTGGAGTGGCAGGCCCCCGGATGAGTGAAGGGCAAGCTATGTGACATTCTGTCAGCCATGCCGCCCCCTACTTTCTCCACCCGCCATGCTACGTGCTAGCTCTTTTCTCCCCCCCCTCCACTTCTCTCTTTTAAAAGGCAATAATGAAATGAAGCGATCCATCAGGTCTGCCCCTGGTGTGTGGCATTATAAAACACAAGCTCAAGCATGGAGAAAACAGCTGCTCAATCACACCAAGGCCCAGTAGCCTTCAGCTGCAGTAAATAACTAAAATACCAACAGGGGACAAAGAGGGAGGCAGAGAAACAGAAAGGCAGAAGGAGCTAAGAGGAGAGGGAATATTTAAGGCAATGGACATGGATCTTTATTTTTGAAATATTAGCAAACGGGCTGCTGAACACGGACCACTAAATGATTTTTGGGCTTTTCGCTAAAGTTTCAGTGCCACTGTCACATATTGTCCTTGTTAATATGTGATCCTATAATTTATTGTGTGTTTTCTCCCCCTTTAGCTTCGCTGAGAAGTGGATCCCCAATGTCATCATCTCTCACCGCTACAAAGCACAAGACACGCCCGCCCGCAGAACTTTTGAGCAGGCCCTGACTGGGGCTTTCATGTCCGCTGTGATAAAGGACCTGAGGCCCAGCGCGCTGCCCTTCGTAGCCAGCCTGATTCGCCACTACACCATGGTCGCTGTGGCTCAGCAGTGTGGTGAGGGACCGGTGCTCTTTCCACTCTCTACATCTAATATTAGCTTTCTGTTTTGCCCCGGTATTGGCATTGATTCACAGCTGCACAACAATATCAGTCTCTTTCCAATTTTGTCCTTTTGCTGACTTTTCTGTTTCTCTATTAAGATTTTTATAAAATCCTCATTCTTTTTAGATTCAATGTACTAATTAGGGGACTATTATCAGAACAAAGCGAACGTTCAGGCTCCCTCATGTGGCTCAATGGTTTACTGCAGATACAAATCTTTAGTAAAAGACTATGGAAGAAATTCTGCACGTTTTTCTGGCGGCCCATAATTCCTTTCCACTTGTGCCTCCCCGTGATCCCAGGTCCGTTCCTGCTGCCAAGCTACCAGCTGGGCAGCCAGCCGAGCACGGCCATGTTCCACAGCGAGGAGAACGGCTCAAAGGGAATGGACCCGCTGGTTCTGATCGACGCCATAGCTATCTGCATGGCGTACGAGGAGAAGGAGCTGTGTAAGATTGGGGAGGTGGCCCTGGCGGTCATCTTCGACGTCGCCAGCATTATCCTTGGCTCCAAGGAGAGGGTAAGTCTCTGGGGGGAGGATAATGGAGGCTTCAGTTATTTTATGAATATCATAAAGACGTTCTACTCATTGTGCTAATTATTTTATATCTCTGGTGGTGTCTGTGCTGGCCATTAATATAACTCGATGTTTCACCCCTTGATGAAATTGAAAGGTTCTTGACATTTAATAATCATTCTTCTACGTGTTTGGTCATCGTCCTGTCCTCTTCTCTACATCTTCAGGCTTGCCAGCTGCCCCTGTTCTCCTACATCGTGGAGCGTCTGTGCGCCTGCTGCTATGAGCAGGCCTGGTACGCCAAGCTCGGCGGTGTGGTGTCCATCAAGTTCCTCATGGAGAGGCTGCCTCTGATCTGGGTGCTGCAGAACCAGCTCACCTTTCTCAAGGCCCTTCTCTTCGTGATGATGGACCTCACGGGAGAGGTGAGAGAAAATGACTAAACAATCTAGAAGTGACCGTACAAAGATTTACCTGCATCCGTTTGTTGTCGACTTGTGTTCACGAGGTGTTTTACAAAAGGCTCGCAGGAGGTTCAATGTAACAACTTTCCTCTTTTGTTGCACCACTCACTGCAGTAGCAGTGTACTTACTAACTTATTGATTTTCACAATGAGGTGTCGAATGGCGCCGTGGCCATGGCTAAGACCACCCTGGAGCAGTTGCTCGTGCGCTGTGCCACTCCGCTGAAAGACGAGGAGAAGACCGAGGAGCTGCTGGCCGCCCAGGACAAGTCTTTCCACATGGTCACGCACGACCTGGTGCGAGAGGTCACCTCCCCCAACTCAACTGTCAGGAAGCAGGCCATGCACTCCCTGCAGGTGCTCGCCCAGGTCACCGGCAAGAGCGTCACCGTCATCATGGAGCCACACAAAGAGGTGAAACCAAGGACTGTAGTGTTTTCTCCAACTGTGTATATATACTGTGCTGGACAAGACTTTGTTTTATGTAAAATGCACCCAATATTTCAGCTTAAACTCAAGATAGGCTACAATTACAGATGCAGTGTGTCTGGTCACTCTGGACTGAAATAAAGTCTTTTAATCCACATTCATTGATTTTTTTTTTTTTTGTTTCCTTCTCTTCAGGTTTTGCAAGATATGGTTCCTCCGAAGAAACACCTGCTCCGCCACCAGCCTGCCAACGCCCAGATTGGCCTGATGGAGGGCAACACCTTCTGCACCACCCTGCAGCCCCGTCTCTTCACAATGGACCTCAATGTCATGGAGCACAAGGTCTTCTACACAGAGGTATGCAAGAGGCAGAGGTCACTGACCGGAATCAAATCTTCCGTTACTATGATTTCCTCATTTGTTTTTATCACACATTCATTCAATTTTCTTGTGTTTGTGGATATTTTCACAAAGCTCCTTTTTTTCCCCACATTGTTTTTTGGGGCATATTTTCACTAAATATATAAACATTTCAAATAGTGTTGACCTATGACCTTTGCCCCTCCCCCCAGCTGTTGAACCTGTGTGAGACGGAGGATGCTGCTCTGATGAAGCTGCCCTGCTACAAGAGCCTTCCCTCCCTCGTTCCCCTCCGCATCGCTGCTCTCAGTGAGTTGGCCTTCACATTGAATGAATAACTATCTAAGACAACATTTTGAAGTATTTAAATAATGCTGACTTGCTATGTTTGGATTATTCCATCTTTTTTTGTCAGACAGGGTTTGTTTAATGTTACTTTTTCCCCGTTTAGATGCCCTTGCAGCTTGTAATTACTTACCACAGTCCAGAGAGAAGATCATTGCTGCCCTGTTCAAAGCCCTCAACTCCACCAACAATGAGCTGCAGGAAGCGGGCGAGGCGTGTATGAGGAAGGTCAGTGCAGCATCTCTTAACCTGGTTTGTGTTGCTTGTAATTAGTTTACATTTGGACTTACAGGAAAATGTTACACTTCAAATTGTAGAATGTTTAAAGCAGGCTGCATTTATAAATGTTTACAGTTCACAATCTCGACCAAAGCGGTCGACACATCTTTATTTCTGTCCTTTTAGCATCTTTACATTGGCTCTATTTTTAAAAAGAAGATTGATTTTGAATTTATTTCAAGACGTTATTGATTACTGAGAAAGCTCAGACCTGCGTTACATCACTCACTTCAACTGCAGTTCCCTTTGAGCAGAAAACAGCCTGAGACGCACTGACATGACCTTTCTAAGTCTGGATTAAAGACTGCGCCTTAAGCTATGAAGCGATCCACCCGAGTTCACACGGTGGCACCCTTTAAATCTTTTCTACAATCACATTTTCTACACCTTTTTTTAAAATGGCCTTCTTCTGTGTCGCCCTTATACCTTTTTTTTTATTTATTTATTTTTTTTATTTCGCTCTTATGTTATTTAAGTGCTTTTAAATTGTGTTATTGTTTTTCATATTTTGTTTTCTAAGTAGTTTTTTATTATCTTGTTTTCCGTGCTTCTCTTCTTTCCTGCTCTCTTTTATCTGTGCCACTCATGTCATTTGCCATCTTAGAGGTCCTTTGTTAATCCTACCCTCGTACCATTTCCCCACCCAATTATATTCACCCGGACCTCCCTCTGCTTTATCACACTCTCTATTCATCAAAGTATCCATACCATCTCCACCTCTATCCATCTACCTCGAGCTCTTTGTCTCCTTTTCCTTCCATTGCTGTGTCCTTCATTTTCTTTCTTTGCCACCATCGCTCCTTTCCACCATCCTTTTGATTTTTTTATTTATTTTTCTGCCTCGCCATTCTCTGCTCTCTCCGTTCTTTCATCTCTGCCCTGCTCGCACTAATGAGCGCTGCCATGGCCCGATCGATACAGGATGGAGTGTTTGTTCTCTGCACTGAGAGGAAAATTAATGTGGCTGCCATGCATCATTCCCTCGTGTGTGTGTGTGTGTGTGTGTGTGTGTGTGTGATATCAGTGTTTGGTGTTGGCATGTGTGCTTGTTTATGGCTGGTCATGCCCTCATTTGAGTGGCCTTAGTTCCTTAATGGAGACACAAGGGGTAGCGAACAGTTCATGGTGCTGGAAAACCTGACAAGGCCAGGTGTAATGTAGAGGGGAAAACAAATTTGTGGAAGGGACATTAAAATTATTCGGTACAAAATAAATCTGTTCACAGACCTCAATAATACTTTAAAGCTTCAACTACTTTTTTATGAAAGGTTTGATAACATCGGAGAAAAACAAGCCTGTATTCCGAGTTATGATGATGTCATCTTTTTCTATATTTACAAATTCTACCTTAGGTTTTTCAACATTACTATCTTGTTTCCTTTACAATATTTATTTATATTAAGAGTTGTATGTAAACGTTTTGAAGTTTCCCCTGTAATCTTTTATGTTTTATTTTTTTAATTTAAATTTATTTTTTAGTTCCTGGAAGGCGCAACCATTGAGGTGGACCAGATCCACACTCACATGCGGCCCCTGCTGATGATGCTGGGGGACTACCGCAGCCTGACGCTCAATGTGGTGAACCGGCTGACCTCCGTCACTCGCCTTTTCCCCAACTCCTTCAACGACAAGTTCTGTGATCAGATGATGGTGAGATCTCTTCATTCTGCAACAACGGCACAGAACACAGTTTATAATAATGGCATCAACATGACAGCAAGACCTTTTAACTGTGGCAGTGTTACTGAAGGTTATTTTATCTCTAAATATCTGATACTTTTTTTAAGTTTGAATGTTTTACTGAGTAATTGCCGAAATTTATTAGAGTATTGCTTTCTGTGATACATGCTAGTGCACACTAGCCACATGCAGATTTGATTCTTGTCCTTAGGTTGATATTTTTTGGGTAGCAATGCCAACAGGGCTCACATGGTTAATACAAGGTGTCAGTTCATGGTCCAGTAATGGTTATTGTCTGCCCACTGTGTAGTAGCTTCACAAAGAAAAAGAAAAATATATATATTTTCATTAATTACTTGAATCTTTTGAGTAAATATTTGGTCTTTGCTGGTGCCATGCTCTGCCTATTGAGCTAGGCAGACACACACACACACACACACACACACACACACACACACTTTGCCAACACACAGTCTCAATCTTATCTTTCTCTGTCTCTCTTTCTCAGCAACACCTTAGGAAGTGGATGGAGGTAGTTGTAATGACACACAAGGGAGGCCAGCGAAGTGATGGCAGTGTAAGTATACACACCAGAGAGTTCAATGCGTACACCTTTAAGAAATTGAATACAAAATGTGAATACATCGCTCATGACATGTAGATGTGTTTTTGTTTCTACTATTTAGTTTAGTATGAATCTCGTTTGAATGCAATGAAGATGCAGTCATATCCTGTAGGAGGCGGGGTCAACACCGCTGTCTACTGGCACATTTTTTACACAGGGGGAAAAAAAAAGGGGCAGAGAATGTAGTCAACACCTCCTCAATGTGGCTTCCTCCCAGATGAGTTGTGAGTGGCCATATTACAATCAATGATTAATTAGGCGCCAGGCAGGCGGTGGTGGGCCCAGCGCTGCGTCTCCTCATTATCTCCCCGACAGATAACCTTGTAAGTGCAGATAAAAAAGGTGAGAGCGAAAGAGAGGAGGAGAAAAAAACCCAGCTGCCTCTCCCCCGCAGAAATAAAACCCATCTTCTTCTGCCTTCCCTTTATGCGAGTCCATCCTGCCCCGTCTTAAAACGGTGTGTTTAATTAGATGCAAATTGGCCCTCTGTCTTTCCCTCCCTCTCAACCCGGGGGTCTTTGTGCGTGTTGACAGGAAGGCTGGCAGTGACAATAAAGCCGGGGTCAGGGGTCAGTTAGCCAAGCCCGGTAAAGACAAAAACTGGGGAAAGAGGACGGAGCAGGGCTGAGGAGGATGGGCATGAAAGCAGGGTTTGACAGAGTATTGAGCCGAGTAACGGGTTGAGAGGAGCAGTAAAGATGTCGCATGAAAGAAAACGGAAAGGGTTTAACCAAAACAAAATATCAGTCTCCCCCGTTATTCACCAAACGCTGAGAAAAGTTGTTCCTGAGGTCAATCATAAAGTGTTGTCTGCCCATTCATTTCATTATCACCCCGTCTCATCGGCTCACCTTCCACACGGAACGAAGGCCGACGACACACAATTGCACACGTACTGCTTTGCTGACTCTGATCATTGTCTCCCGTTCCGGTACAGCCTGCGTTGGAGGGCGTTGAGGTGAGATGTGACCCGGTGTTGCGCCCCCTGTTGGCGACTCTCTGTGATTTCAGCTTCGTCGACCCAATGTCGTGGTATTGGTGCTGTTGGAGTTCCCCCTGTATTTCTGTGTCCGTCTCTGTGGTCGTCTTCCGACACTTGACTGTCGTCTCAACCTTGCTCTAACCTCACCTTTTTGACTGTTTTAGAAATGTCCAATCCTTCATCCCTTCCCCTTTGACTTCCCCCCCTCTAAGATACTGATAATACAAGGTTGATGAAAGTGATCATGCATACTGTCCTTTTATTTGTTTGTACCCTGCGTGAATGTAATCTAAGAACTCATGCAAGTGAGGTACTCTGCACCTTTCCCCTGGGAGGTTAACTCCGCACTGATTGCATTTTCAGTCGTTTGACTTGTCCTCGTCTTTCTACAGTGGCTGTCCTTAATGGCTGTCATTAAGAAATTATGTCCATGTCTAGTTCCATCATCCTTTCAAAAAATTTCATCCGCTCCCTTCTTTCCTCTGCTCTTCTTCCTCTGACTCTTCCTCCAGGAGATGAAGATCTGTTCTGCCATCATTAACCTGTTCCACCTGATCCCAGCTGCACCTCAGACTCTGGTCAAACCTCTGCTGGAGGTGGTGATGAAGACAGAGAGGGCCATGCTCATAGAGGTAGGACACCAACTTCAAGATGTAAGGATGTTACAGCTTGAAAAGCTGTAACATCGACATTACTTCATGCATTTTATAGGCTAAGTAGGCAATGCATGATCATTTTAAGACGAACTCTTTCTGATGTATAGTATAAATGGTACATTTAACTCCCAGTGCATTTGCCTTCATGAAATCCTTACCATCTTTTCCTGTTTCCGCCTGTTTCCACTCCCTCCTCTGCTGCTTCACTCATCCCTCCTGTGGCAGGCCGGCAGTCCATTCAGGGAGCCTTTGATCAAGTTCCTGACACGTCACCCATCTCAGACGGTGGAGCTGTTCATGATGGAGGCTACGCTGAACGACCCCCAGTGGAGTCGCATGTTCATGGTCAGACACTGGCAGCTCTAAGTAGCAGTCCCTCCAGGACTTTTTATTGACACATTTGCCATCAAAACTGCATTTTGCCTCCGCACTAATCGGCTATAATCGTATATAATGGGTGTTTCGAGGCTTAGTGGTCCTGTAAACCACCCACATTGAGACAGATCACTCCCAGTAGAAACATCTTAATTTCCTGTATCATATGTCTTTGAAGGTGTTATAGTTACAGTATGTCTGTGTGTTCATATACAGAGTTTTCTGAAACACAAAGATGCCAAGCCACTAAGAGACGTGCTGGCTTCTAACCCCAACCGCTTCGTCCCTCTGCTTGTCCCCGCTGGCACTGCAGCAACTGTTCGACCTGGATCTCCGTCCACCACCACAGCCAGATTGGACCTGCAGTTTCAGGCTATCAAGGTACACATAACCGTAAAGCTGTATTTATATTTTTGCACAGCCCTAATCTGAATACTACATTCAGTAATTCCATCATATGACCTCTAGCCTGTTCCTTCTTCATCCCTTCTGCTCAGATTATCAGCATCATAGTGAAAAATGATGAGGGTTGGCTGGCAGGGCAGCACTCCCTGGTCAGTCAGCTGAGGCGAGTCTGGGTCAGCGAGGCCTTCCAGGAGAGACACCGCAAAGACAACATGGCTGCCACCAACTGGAAGGAGCCCAAGCTGCTGGCCTTCTGCCTGCTCAGCTACTGCAAGTATGTACACTTATTCAAATGGAAATATCAGACAAAGTTGTCAAACGATCTGAAAATCGACATTGACCCCCCCCTTGTCTCCTCAACAGGCGTAACTACTCAGAGATTGAGCTGCTGTTCCAGCTGCTGCGCGCCTTCACAGGTCGCTTCTTATGCAACATGACCTTCCTGAAGGAGTATATGGAGGAGGAGATTCCCAAGAACTACTCCATTGCTCAAAAACGGGCCCTGTTCTTCCGCTTCGTTGAGTTCAATGACCCTCACTTCAACGATGAGCTTAAAGCTAAGGTACGTACACAGACTACATGCCAGAGGTACCTGAAATTACCAATAAGAATACCTTTTGCCAACAGATTTAATACGGAGTCTTAAAATCCACACGGGAAATAAAGTATTGGTCTAGTGGGAGGTGTTAAACACTGAAACCAGCTGACCATTCCTCCAGTTGAAATGAGTTGATGGATACATTACACCATCTGTTTTTGTAACATATTTAAACGAATAGTTTAAAACTATGAGGCACATGTGGGCCTTAATTTAAAAGAATCTGATATGTTTTGGACTTTTTGCATTGTGCTGGAAAAATAGATGCCGATCTTGGAAAATTGAGACGTAATCTTTTGGACTGTAATGATGGATTATAAATGATGTTTCTAAATTCTTTGAGCATCTCCTCGGCTTGCTTAGCTTCCCCAGCGTGGGGACCTGATCTGTGTGACTTCTATGCTCGGTGTGTTTTGTACCAGAAGTTCTTTGATGGAATCGGGAAGGTCATTGTCTGGTTGTAGACCCTCAGAGGCTCACGCATGAATGCTTCCGTCCTCTCTACCTGACCTGCTGCTGCTGCAAACCATTACAATCATTCGGGCTGCTTTTTAATTAAGATCACTCTCCCGCATGCACGCTCACAAGCATACACACACACAGAGACGGACGCACACATACACATTTTGCACAGCTGTAATAGGCTCACAACCTGGCACAGGAGAGCAACAGCGCTGCTGTTAAGTACAAACGGGTCAGTGGGGAAGGCTGGCAAACTCCAGCACATAGCCAAATGACTGTGTGGCAGGAAACACACAGATGAAAAGTGCAGTGTACCCACACCCCCAAATCCAAGGACATGCACTCACTGTGTCTTTCCAGGCCCGAATGTTGCATTTTCATATTTAGCAAAACAAAGTTTCGTCCCTCATATAACACAACACCCCGCCCCCACATCCATAATTTCGCTCATATTGTTGTTTTCCCCCTTAATTATCCTCTTCTGGTGCGCAGCAGCTGCCAGCTGTGCATGTGAGGACATACAGAAAAGAGAGCGTGTGTTTGCGTGTGAATGTTTGTGTTGATTGGTGTACAAGTCGCGAGCAAGAGAATGAGTGTGGCAGTCTGGCATTTAAATAATTGCCATTTGCATTTACCCAGAAGCTTTATATCACAGGGGAGGGTGGTGTGTGTGTGTGTGTGTGTGTGTGTGTGTGTGTGTGTGTGTGTGTG